GCACTATGGGCTTAAGCAAGCACCAAGAGCATGGTATGAATGCCTTAAGGAATTCTTGCTTAAATAAGGCTTTAAAATAGGCAAAGCCGATCCTATCCTTTTCAATCACAAAGTTGGCAAAGATATATTTGTGTGCCAAATATATATCGATGGCATAATATTTGGTAGTACTAATCATTCTTTTTGTGAGAAATTTAGTAGGATCATAACCAAGATATTTGAGATGTCCATGATGGGTGAATTGAAGTTCTTCCTTGGATTTTAAATCAAACAAGTGAAGGATGTAAGTTTTATTAGCCAAATGAAGTACACCCATGATATGCACAAGAAGTTTGACATGGTGAATGCCAAGCCTATCAAAACTTCCATGCCAACCAATGGACATCTAGATCTCAAAGATGAAGGAAAAGCCCACTACTAAGGTATATCGCTCCATGATCGGCTCTCTACTTTATTTATGTGCATCTAAGCCCGATATTATGCTTAGTGTGTGCATATGTGCTAGATTTTAAGCTAACCCGAAAGAGTGTCACTTAGTGGCCGTTAAGATAATCTTGAGATATTTAGTACACACTTCTAACCTTGGATTGTGGTATCATAAGGGCTCTAGGTTTGATCTAGTTGGGTATTCAAATTATGATTACGCCGGTTGCAAAGTAGATCAAAAAAGCACTTCGAGGATATATCAATTCCTTGGATGGTACCTAGTGTCGTGGAGTTCTAAAAAGCAAAATTATGTAGCCCTTTCCATCGTCGAGGCCGAGTATGTTGTAGCCGATGCATGTTGTGCTCAACTACTTTGGATGAGGCAAACCCTTCAAGATTTTAGATGTCACTTCACTAAAATCCCACTCTTGTGTGACAATGAAAGTGTCATAAAGTTAGCCAATAATCCCGTAAACTACTCAAGAACTAAGTACATAGACATCCGACATTATTTCTTGAGAGACCACGAAGCCAAAGGAGATATCGAAATTCGTCATGTGAGCACCGAAAAGCAACTAGCCAATATCTTCACTAAGCCTCTTGATGAGTCAAGGTTTTGTACTTTGCGTAGTGAGCTAAATATACTTGATTCTCGTAACATGGTTGGAACTATAGCACACCTTGATTGATGAACTAGTGTGGATAGAAAAAATGAATTGCAAAAGTTTAAATATTGTGCTTAAAAATGTTTATCATAAGAAATAAGTGTATTATGATCATTGTTTGTATTGATTATTTGTTGCTAATCATAGTGTGCTTGAGATATGTGTACATATCCTATATATATAGAGGTATTTAGTTAGTAGCTAAATTTGCAGTACTGGGGAGTCCGACAGTGCTGCGTGTGGCGAGCAACAGTGCCGCACTTTGAATTCCAATAGGAATTCGGCCAAAAAACAGCAGTTACTGTGGAGGCCCGTCTTACCTCTCTACTTCACCTGGCCCCTAGGGTAACTTCCCCTCTCTCTTATTCACCGCAGCCACCGCCACCTCTTCTTTCCTGCACGCACGCACGCAGCCGCAGCCATCACATCTCTGTCCAGCGCCACGCCGCTGCCTCTGGCACTGCCGCGGCCTGCTGGTGCTCTTCCTCGTCATCACTAGTAGTAGCCGAAGTTCATGGATTGAGCCATTCTCTTCCTTTCCTCCTCAATCCGCGTAAATCAAGGTAAAACCCTAACCTAGTCTCGATCTATGCCATGGAGCTCTATCTTTGTTGAATGATGGTTTCTAGTGACTGTATGATTAGGGTAGAAACTAGTTTGATGAATGAATTGAATCAAAACAAAGAATCATTGGTTGAGCCTCATCTGTACCCACGACAGTGCCGCATGTTGGGTGCAGCAGGGCCGCACTCAACAGAATGAATATATAAATACAGATGTTGTTCCATCGATGACTCTCTGTTTTGGTTGAATTTATGCATCAGATGTATTTCTGTCTTAAACATGTAGCTACTTTACTTACATTGTAGACAACTCTATGTATTTGTTTAGGTCTACTCATTCTGAGATTGTCTAGTGGTTTAGGAGAATGGTTGAGAAATAGTCTGAATAGTTGAGAAGAAATGAATCGTGGGAGAGGTGAAGCACTAGGTGCGGCAAAGGTCCGCTCTTAGGGTGCTTGGCAATGCCGTACCTCTCTGACCAGATTGGTTCAGGTGCTTTCCTAACCCGAGATTTGAATCATCTCATCTATCCAGTGTTACAAGTGTTCTTCTATACCCTTATGTACAGCTTTCTTATTTGGACCTATATTTATTTGCATAGATGACCTCTGGAGGTGATGATGACCGGAGGGGAAGAGGAAGATGACCGAGGCTCAAAATAAGTAGATGCCTCATCGTGGTCGTGGTAGGACCACAGGGGGGGCAGCAGTGCAAAGGCAAGACGAGAGATGTTGCCAAAGAGCAGGGAGAGAGAGATCAGATGATCTAGGATGAGGAGAATCTAGAGAGGGCTGGCCGCACCATTCCTCTAGGTGCTTTTCCAGATACCCCACCTCATCTTGAGGAGTTTGACAGGAGCTACATTAGAGAGTATTCTAAGAATGTAGTTATGAGGCGTCCTGTTGACACACGTCCTCATTCCGTGCTCAATTATGTGGGAAAGCTAAAGATGGTGGAAGATGCATGGTAAAACAATCCCTATGAGCAGCCAAAGGATTTGAAGATTGACTATAGGTTTTAGAATGAGTTTCATTTCAACTTCTATGTATCTGTGAACTTCAACTCCAAGAAATTCAAGGTTGTCAAGATGCATTATGTTGATTAGGCGGAGATGAAGGGAAATAATGAGCCTGAGTTCAATAAGGTGATAAAGGCTTGTGAGTTGTTTGACCTCACTGATATTATGAGCTTCAGATATAATTGGAATGAAGAAGTGCTAGCCCAGTTTCATGCCACTTTCTTCTATAGCATCTACACTGATGAGATTCACTGGATGACTGAGGGACGGCATTATAGAGTTGATTTTATGACTTTCAACTGGATCCTTGGTTTTGGAGAGGAGGAGCGGGGTTTCACTTACATTCATGATGAGGCTAGAGCTGAGATCCATGATATTGCCTATACGTGGATTGATAAGAGAAGTGCAGATGAGAATGTCAGTGGCCTGAAGAGCTATTATTATATTCTAAACAATTTGATCAGACACACTATCAATTCCAAGGATGGAGCAGCTTCTGATCTTAATGGATATGTGAGGAATATGCTTGCTAGATTTGCTCTTAGAGGTGATAGATTTAATGTCCCCCGCTTCATGTGACGTGAGCTGAGGAATGCCATGGAGGATGGGAGAAAGGGGATACCCTATGCCCCCTATCTCATGTTTATGATTGAGAGGGTCACTGGCTACAGATTTGAGAAAGATGGTCTTCATACCGTCTACAAGATTGAGAAGACCCGAGGAGCAGATGCTAGCAGGGCAGTGAGACGCTCTCCATCAGTTTTGGACGTGCCTGAGTCGTCCCGCTCTAGGCCTCGTAAGGAAAAGAAGATAGAGAAGTTTGGGAAGTGGATTAAGACTATTTTCACCACATGCACCTATGCAACAAGGACCGCATATTGGAGAACCGTGAAGCTAATCGGGAGGCTAGAGAGCGTGTAGGGCTGCCACCTCTTTCTCTAGTTCAGTCACCGCCGAGGTTTGATGACCTCCCTAGCCTTTCTAAGACAGATTCAGAGGATGAGGAGGAGGAGTAGGAGCAGGAGCAGCTAGAGCTTGATCCTCACATGAATTTTAGGTCCACCTTGTAGTCCATGAGGAGGAGCACCAGGCGTGAGCGTCACACTTCGACCACTCATCGCCAAGGGAAGGCGATGGTGTCTTCCTCCTCCTCCAACGATGATGATGATGGTGGAGAGGAGGACATTGCAGGTGCTAGTGGAGCTGCTGATGGAGATGATATCGATTGGGACACCATCCAAGAGGATGAGGAGTGAGTGTTGGTCTTTCTTCTTTTTTTCTCTTTTTGGTGCTTTATGTCAAAGGGGGAGAAAATTAGAGAGGTCAACAACTTTTTCGACGCCATAGAGAGGAGGTTGATGCAACTAGAGTCTTGTTCGTATCCGTTTGGAGTAGTCTTCGTTAGGTGAGAGTTTGAGAGTCCATTAGAAACTCTATTTATATAATAATGCTACTTAAATACTTTATATATGTGTAGGATATGGATATATATTAATCTATGCTGTCGCTTGTGATACAATTGTGCTAGATGTATATATTTATATGTTTCACATGATGTGTGGTATCACATGCTAGTGTACTCACTCCTCATCTTAAGAGTTAAGTCTCCTGACTTGAGAACGAGGAAGGGTTAGAAAGCCCTAAGCCTTAGTGGCTAACCTCAACAACGTGGAGGTAGGCAAGCCTTGGTGGCGAGTCGAACCACGGGATAAATCACTGTATCACTTGTGCTTGATTTACATTACTTGTATTTCATATTATTGGTTGAGGTGATTTTTAGGGTTTCTAGTCGATCTACTTGTGTCTGGTGTTCCTACAACTTCTAGCTCTTGATCTGTGACTATCATACCTGCAGTAGGCTGAGAAATTACTTCACTGATTTTGAACTGTGACTCGAAGTTGTCTGCAGGTGCTGCAGTGCCGCTGTTCTGGTCCGGCGGTGCCGCAATCCGACAGTGCCGCCCTCTAGAGCAGCAGTGCCGCAGAGTGAATTTAATAAATGTTTGAGTATTTATTTTGACAGATCCATTCATCCTCCTATAGACCAACCAGAGATCCTACAAACTTACAGACCAGGTGTGAGCTGCGTCAGAACGCCTTCTAGCGTCTCCCTTTTATTTTAATTCTTTTGGTGTGTTTACATTTTACAAATTGAAGTCTTCATACCTTCAGACCATTTTACGCGTAGGGATGGCACGCCTAAACTCATTTCCCAACAACCAGCATTTTTATTGATCTTTCCACTTGGTACCCGTCAGGTGAAGGTTGATCAATAGCATAATGACAGTTCACTTTGTTGCGAGGACAGCAATAATGTTGTGGCAACAACTATAACCCTGGTGGATTTGCTTGATCCAATGCAACCGGATCCATATAGTAGAAATTATGACGGTACCGGCACACCCTAGCCTCCGTGTACACCCTTCCCGGCTCACAGTAGTATCCCTTGTTCGGCGCGCAGTGAGCGTCCTGTGAACACACGCACGGCTCCTCGAGCGCGCACCCATCCTTCACCACGCTGACACCGCCTCCGCCGCCGACTCCCAGCACCTGGTCGCTCCACTCGCTCGATAACAGCCCGTCCGGGTCGTAACGCCGCTTCACCTTCAAAAACTCCTCGGCGCGCGCGCCGTACCTGCCGATGGCGCCTTCGAAGGCGGCTTTCCGGTTCTTGCCCCAGTACGGCAGGCCGCCGTACTTGAGCAGCGCCATCTGCTCGATCTCCTCCATGACGTCCTCGTGCAGCCGCGGCGCCGCGGGGGCCCGGCTCCGGTAGTAGGTCATGTCGAAGTCCACGCTGTCCTCCAGCTTCCCGAGGAGCGCCGTGGAGGACCTCACGTACCGCAGGAGGATGCCGCCGTACACCTCGAAGCCGCAGAACGCGGCCGGGTTCAGGTCCCGCAGCATCTGCACGTCGCGGATGAGGCCGGCGACCTTGGACACGGGCACGGTGATGCCCGCCTGGAGGTAGAATATGCCTTTGGCGACGCGCCGGTCCCACGGGCAGGCGGCGGTGAGCAGAGCGTCGTCCTCGGTGCCGGTGAGGCAGCGCCCCGAGGACTGGATGTGGTTCTGGTAGCCCACCACCGTGTCGCCGAGGACCGTCGCCGTCGGCAGCAGGCCGTGCGTCGTCGTCGTCGTTAGGCCGTAGTTTGGAGTGGTGAAGAGTGTTTCTATCCCTGGGGCGGCGGCGCATCTGGCCCCGGCATCCCTGTTGGCCTCCACGATGTCCTCTTCATATCGTGCATGTGACAAGGAGATGAACTTGCTGTTAGCACAAATATTATCATATCATAACAGTATTCAACGGATGAATTCAAGAGTGGCGGCGCAAATACCGTACCAGTGAGCCTAGCAGACTGGATTGGGAGCGTAGGTGTCGGCCGGAAGCCGATGAAATCCATCGTGCCATCACCGGCGGTGTTGACGGGGACGCGGTCATCCATCCTGTAGACAGCCAGACCGTGGCCTGGGTACCAGAAGATGTCGGCGAACTCGTGCTCGCTGGAGAAGGCCACGACTCGTTCGGCCAGGTCGGAATCGTTGCGCTTCTTGAACGTCACCGAACGCTTGAACACTGGTTGCAGTGCCAGAGTGATCTGATCCACGCAAAACCATGGAAAGTTTATGAAGAATCCAAACATGGCCAGTTCCAGAATTTTCACACGTGCAAACATTACACATTGTGTGTCCTATGAATTATATATTCCAACTTTTTAATGTCAATATATTACGATTTTTTTGTTACGAAAAATAGAATTTTCAAGCTGCATATCAGTTAGGGTTTCCATCCACTCTCTGAGTTTAGATTAACTATTAGTACTATTTTTCTTCCAAAATTTCGTAGTCAAATTTGCACTCCTAACCTCAATATACTATGTCGCCAAATTACCCTCTACACAAATAGTACTCCCTTGTCACGTGATACAATGAATTGAAGTATTCAAATTTTTCCAGAGAGTCTAGCTGATACATTAAATAGACATCCTCCTTGGGCACTGCTTTAATCCACCCAACTAAAGTTTAACTAGCCAAATTTCAAAGCTAAATTTTAGCTAGCTAAAAGTTCTCTTAGCTAAACTTTAGCTGGGGTGTTTGGATCCTCCAGCTAATAGACTTAGCTAAATTTTAACTAGGTTGAAACAGCTAAACTCAATAACTAAACTTTAGCTGGTCTTTTAGTTGTGCCATTTGAATCTGTAGCAACTAAATTTAGCCAGCTAAAATTTAGTTGGTGGATCCAAAGCCAGCTAAAATTTAGTTGGTGGATCCAAACAGACCCTTCCTTGCAAAAAAGAAAAAAGAAAAAATAACTCCAACAACTTTGTATCTAAACTCCCTAAACACAAGCACTTATCAAATTCTCTCCTCAACTCACAAATATGCACATGTGTTCCATGCTTGGTATGTGTCCCGTGCCTCCTCCGATGTGGTTTTCCCTCCTCCCAGTTTTCGAGTTTCAAAACTATTCCCTCCGTCCAGAAATGGTAAGCGTATTTGACCATAGATATTGGTGAGTAGTACAAAAGCTAATATTCATAAAGGTTCAATCACATCATTGCTAGGGTTGGTTGGCCCCTAAAGAGTGGAAGTGACTGAGGGCGTCTAAGCAAGAACATAGAGACTAGACCCTTATTTAGTTCCCGTCTCTGAAATTTTACATATTGTTATATCAAATATTTAGATACATGTATAGAGTATTAAATATAGATTAAAACATAACTAATTATATAGTTTGTGACTAATTTGCGAGACGAATCTTTTAAGCATAATTAGGTTATATCTGACAATAAAGTGCTACAGTAATATATGTGCTAATGACAGATTAATTAGGTTTAATAAATTCATCTCGTGGTTTACCGACGGATTCTGTAATTTATTTTTTTATTAGTATCAAATAATCCATGCCACACCTCTGTAACACCCTCAGCTTTTATAGTCCTGGATCTAAACAAGGTTTAGACGGCGACGAGTGATTTTTTGTACGTGAGGCCATCAAGTCGATATGCGCCTGAGCGAGCTACGAGAAAGCCTGTCTGCTGGATTGGTCTGTGACTTGATGGCTCGGCCGGTGACAGATTGATGAATTTTTGCCATCGTACGATGTCTTAATTAAGCCAATTTATAGGAAACTTGACTGGCCTATACAGAATTAATAGGTTATAAGAGAGGATTTTATTATTAAGCCACGTCTAGGGCTGCGGCCCTAATGGCCCTACCTTTATACATATCCGCTTTGGAGCTCAACTCAACTGGTTAGGTTACTTGTGGTAAAATCTACCTATCTTATTTTAAGTCAGTAACTTGATGCACGAGCGTGCTCATATTTTTTATACATAACTGTTTCATGGGATCTGAGATAAAGCTCAGCTGGTTGGGGTTACTGTGGGGGATATACCCCGGGTACCATAAGATGGTACATGGGCCGCACCATCCGACGTGGCCCGGCCCGTAAGATCAAGGCGTGCACATCAAGATTATATGTTGTACTAGATATTGTAATAGTACCAAATTGGATACTTTACTTGTAACCTTATCTCTTCGGAGTATATAAGGAGAGACAAGGGTCCCCTAGAGGACAGGTTAATCGGTGTACATCTCAATACAATACACCAAAGACACAGGACGTAGGGTATTACGACGATCAGACGGCCCGAACCTATCTAAATCGTTGTCTCTGCGCCTTGTGTCACCATCTGGTTCCTGATTACACGCACCGTCTACCGATAATCTACCACCACGGGCACCCCCCTCGGTGGACAGCCGACCATATTTCGTCGACAGTGGCGCCAGGTAGGGGGTGTGCGCGCTGATCCATAGCGAACCAGATGGATCTCAAGATCATCCGCACATTCACGGTGATGGCCTTGTGCATCCAACTGCTTGTACAGGCTATCGGTGGGAACGTTCTCCTACACAAGCAAGCTCGCTGCGCCATCCGATCTCAAGATGCTACGCTGAAGTTTCACCATGATTACGTACCGGGTCACGCTCATGGCCACAACGTGCATCGTCGTCCAGTCGCCGAGATCCAAGCAAAGGCCACGCCTACCGTGCCATGCAATGCAAGCTAACTCCATACAAGCTAATTAATTGTTGAGGCTTGCATGTATACAAGCTAGGAAGCGACGTGCAACTCCTCAGCGTCGTCCGCGGCCACTCGGTTTCTGGCGGCAGTGTTTTCACCCACGTACGACGGGACTCATCTGATGCAATTGATCTGAGTTCTAATCCAATCACGAGTCTCAGAGCGAAGCCGGAGGATAAACTCAACTTGTCTTATTTCCTCCGCAACCGTTCATGTCGATCGGGATCGGAACATCCAGTTCAACAGATCAATTGGTCATATCAACTAGCAAACTAGGAAATCTAATCTACGATCAACGGACGCCATGCGAAGCTGATTGAAGTAATCCAGATATGCAGCTTGCATGTGCTTATACGGATCTGCATGCATGCAACTATAAAAGTATGAATCTACAAGGGCACATGCATGCATGCGGATTGACACCGCTGAGCTCCGACCACGCCGACTACGACCACGTCGACCACGTCTCGAGCGGCTCTGCCGAGCTCCGACCACCAGACCACGTCGACCACGTCTCGAGCGGCTCTGCCGAGCTCCGACCACCTCGACCACCAGACCACATCGACCACGTCCCGAGCGGCTCCGCCGAGCTCCGACCACGTCGACCACCAGACCACGTCGCAATGATGATCGCCGCGAAGAACGGCGCTACGACAACCGCGACCATCGTCGTGACGACAAGTCGGAAAGCTCGAGGACCAGACAACTTCATTGCCACCGACCAGATTTCTATCCAAAGATAAGTACACTTCTAATATTTATATTTGATATAATTTTTCATTACGACGTTTCTCCACAAACGTCCTCGTCATGATTATTCTTCAAATAACGTTTGTCCATGTATACAATCTTAAATATAACATACAGCTATACTTAATGCAAATCCTTGACCAGTCATGTTGACGCTCGATGTCTCCAGAAAAGGCCCTGTCTCCGGCTCCTCCCTACACGTGCACGAGCGTCTGCCCTCTGCGTTATGGGTGGTCGGCAGCGGCTCCTTAGCGACACTTTATTCTTTCTACACGTGCACGGGCTCCGCGCCCCGCGTTATGGTTAACGGGCTAGCTAGGGCTGGAGACTCAGCTACATACTAACTGATCGGGCAGTTTATATTAAGTATAAACACAAACTTCATTTTAACACTAATGTTTACAAAGCACCAACTACTTTATCACATCATGCTCATTTGCAAATGACTGCTGAGCGTCATACGCTGTTTCTTCACTGTTGATTTTTCTCCATAAATTATTATTTTGTACATCATATACTACCATTCTACATATTTATATTGCAGTAATTTCGAGCAATGCTCAGGGACTTCGTCGCTCGCTTCTCGACCTACGCTCGGGGACTGCCTCGATCACTCTCCGACCACAGCTTGGGGACTTCATCGCTCGCTTCTCGACCTACGCACGGGGATTGCCTTGACCACTCTCCGACCACAGTTCGGGAACTTCGTCGCTCGCTCCTCGACCTGTGCTCAAGGACTGCCTCGACCACTCTCCGACCACGGCTCGGGGACTTCGTCGCTCGCTCCTCGACCTATGCTCGGGGACTACCTCGACCACTCTCCGACCACGGCTCGGGGACTTTGCGTCTCGACTACATGCGACTGGCGACTCGCATACAGTTGGGATATTATTTCTCACTTAGACCTTGCTACAAGGCTCATACGTCGCCTTCCAGCAAGCTCGGGGACTACATCGGTACGATGCACTTGCCGGTGCATCTCGTATCGCCTGTACGACGATTGGATTCTCAACTTAACTGGGAATTCTTTTTAGACCCTGGCACCACGTGTCTACGTCACCTACTACCAGGCTCAGGGACTAAGTGGGCACACTTCACCTTGCGGTGAATGTGTTTGTTTTTCAACCCCTACGCCTCTGATGATCAAGGACGCTACACTTTAAGACGCACTTAAATTTCTTTTCAGAAATACAAGTGGGCACACTTTCCAGGACGGAAATCTTTTTCTTTCTTCTTAAGAGCACCATGCATTCTTCGGACAACCTACTTCTTCGGCGACAACGGTGGTCGGAGATGTCAAGAACTCAAGCCTCACAGTTCGGAGAAGGTTGAAACGACGTGTCGCATCAGAATACATGGCGCTCGGGGACTAGCTGTGGGGGATATACCCCCGGGTACCACAAGATGGTACATGGGCCACACCATCCGAGGTGGCCCGGCCCGTAAGATCAAGGCGTGCACATCAAGATTACAAGTTGTACTAGATAATGTAATAGTACCAAATTAGATACTTTACTTGTAACCTTGTCTCTTCGGAGTATATAAGGAGAGACAAGGGTCCCCTAGAGGACAGGTTAATCGGTATATATCTCAATACAATACACCAAAGACACAGGACGTAGGGTATTACGTCGACCAGACGGCCCGAACCTGTCTAAATCGCTGTCTCTGTGCCTTGTGTCACCATCTGGTTCCTGATTACACGCACCGTCTACCGATAATCTACCACCACGGGCACCCCCCTCGGTGGACTGCCGACCATATTTCGTCGACAGTTACTTATGGTGGAATCTGTCCACCTAGTTTTAAGTCATTGCTTGACGTTAGTGCTTGTATTTTTTCAATCACTAATTAACGGTGTTGTTCTTTCAACGCTAGATGACGTGCTCATCGACAACCATCTATGGCGACTTTGTTAATTTTGAATTTTAATCTTTTAGAGGTGCTTATCGGTCCAATTTCAGTCTTTAGGAGGGGCTTATTGGGGTGAGTATGCGTAGATATATGAGTGTCTCCATATTGTAGTTCTCAAACAAAGAAAATGAGCCAACATGCATGCAAGGATTAAATAGAATCAGACTTTAAGTTAGAGGTATATGTGTCTTTATTTTGTGATTTCTTTTAGTTTGTCTTAAAATTTCTTTAATCTATTGCACTATCTCAGAAATCATGAATCTCAAGATCTGTCGGCTCAGTTCTTCGGAGGTGCTCATAAGGTTAGGGTTTGCGTACGTGTATTCATAGGGATAAGTGTGCCTGCATGTTGTGGACGTCCACGTTATACTGTGTGATTCTTAAAAAGAAAGAAATCAGGAGGGCTATATATGAAACAAGTTTATGGTTTTCCTGCTACACACCAACAGCCGGCTCCTGCTTTCCAACAACTTCATGTTGCCAACCACAGTCCGCGTGAAACGCTCGTGCTGCAACCCAACAAATAAAAGATCTACTACGCGGCCCGTGGGAAGCTATGTCAACACTCAACAATTGTTTAGGAAGCCGCATTTGTATTTGTTTAATTAGCAAAACTTCTACGGCATTGCATGTGCATGCATTGACTTTATATACTTGGATAGATATAACAAACAAATCTGACAGATACTTATATCATCTATATATGGCGCCGTTCAGCTGGTTGAAAAACCAGCCGGAATTCACTGTAGCCAGCTGAAATTCACTGTTCATGCTCTTACAGATTCTTTAAAATTTCTCCAAGCGAACAGGGCCACATGTGAATGGGACGCATCATGCCCCATATGCAGTGGAAGATTGTGTACGAGCAGCAGTGGAAGATTGTGTACGTGCTCATAAATTTTGCGATAGGTTATCAGTTCCAGAAAATTTATTGACGTTATGGAACTTGTATATATATATGCATCCCGAGACGATGATTCGATCTAACCGAGAGACAAATTAAGCCATGGTATCATGATCAAGTTGCAATTTTGTATTAACCTGGTAAGAAACAGTAAACATTTACGTACGGTGCGTGGTTAGTTTTTAGGCTAGAACTTTGTGCGCTTATTCCCTTTAAAACTAGGGACAGAGATAACGTGCGACTAGTCGCGTGCCCCGCGCTCCTCCTCCACCGACCCCTCCCTGCCCTGCACTGACAGCTCTCGCCGCCCACCTCCCGCCCATGCCCCTCGACCCCGCCCTCCACTAAAGCTCCGCCGCGACACCTTCGACGGCGTCATCCTCACCCAAGCCCCTCGACCACCGCCCTCCCCTAATCCCAAGGCATGCCGCCGATTACCTCCGCCGGGATGCCCCCGCCGCCAGCCCTGCCCAACCGCCTTCTCCGGCCGCCCCGCCCCGCCATCGTCTCGCCCGCCTCCACCGCTGTGTCGCGACGGCCGCCGTCAAAACCCCTCTTCTAAGGTCACCGGAGATTCATCCCGTAACCCGCCGGAACCCTAGCCGCCGACATATTCTCCCTCCTCTCTAGTGGGGTGCGGGCGTGGTCGCAGTCACGGGTGGAAGGAAGAGCGTAGGAGCGGGAGAGGGAGACGTGGGAGCGTGGTCACGCTGTCGTACGCGACAGGTGCCTAATAGAAATTCCGTAAAACTAGACGGTGATCCAAATTAGTAAAAGAAGAGCTAGTATGTAGTGTCCGTCGTCAGATCCCTGTACGGTACCTGAGAAATGACACCGAGTGTCCCGAGTGACACCTTGGCCGCGTTCAGCTCCGTGTCGCCGTCGACCAGCACCCGGACCTTGGCATACCCCTCACTCGGCGGTGCCGGGGTCACAACCCTCATCCCGCCGACGTACTCGTGCACGGCAGAGCCCTTGCCCCACAGGAAGCTCCCGTGCGCGCCCGTGGAGATCAAGCCGCCGACCGTCAGCCCGAGCCAGTAGGGCGAGTGAGGCAGCGCCAGCCCGGCACAGGCCGCGGCGTCGATGAGCTGCTGCAGCGTGACGCCGCTCTCCACGGTGATCTCCTTCTTGCCGTCGTCCACGCCGACGACGCGGTTCAGGGCGTCGGTGCTGAAGACGAGGCCGCTGTCGCCCCCGGGGCATGCCAGCTTGGGCACAATGTGGCCGTAGCGCGTGGCCACCTTCATCTTGGTCCCGGACTTCGTGGCGTTGGCCACGATGCCCAGGAGCTCTTTCTCGGAGGCCGGAAAGACGGCCGCCGCAGCGTGGCATGTGGAACAGTCCGGGAATGCGCCGTACGCGTTGGTCACGGTGCAGTCGGTCATGCCGGCGGCAGCGCAGCGGACTGGTGATGGCGGGGGGCTAGCGCCAGAGAAGTGAACCAGCGACAAAGACACGAGGACGAGGCACTCCATGACGGCGGCAATCACCAGGAGGCCGTGCATGCGGGGCATTGCTGCTCCTAGCAGGCTTCCTGGCATCCCGTGCATTCGTGTTCGTGCTCTCTCTGTTCTTTCTGCGACTAGCTGTGGATACTGAGGTGCGTGTCCGGTATCATGCAGAGGGAGCTGGTTTATAAAGACAACGCAAGCATATATGTTGAACCTACGAAATGGCTACGCTCGATCCAGTTGATATCATGAGCATGTGGATGCCAGGGACTTGAGGAGCACGAGTGTAGTAATCAATATGTTTCCGTTCCTGTATATATAAGCAAGGTGCTCGCAGCCAGTGGCTGCCCACGGCCCCAAGACGGCGGGCGCACGCAGCCAGGGAGCCCTGCGGCCGTTGCCGGATCATCCACAACGGCCTTTCCTTCGGTGATGGCCTTCATCGACTCCCTCGAGTTGCCGCTGCAGGAACCGTTGATCAAGACAGCGCCACGTCCCCGCCAAGCCCATCGTATCGATGACTCTGTCGTTCCGCGCCGTAGTGACACAGGCTCGCGGCCAAATCAGTCTTCCGCGACCCTTAGCCGGAGAAGCAGACCAAGCGCGTCATGATGAACAAGTGGAGGCGGAGGCCTGACGACGCTGTAAGCTGCACCCCGGACGCTACGATCGGTACAAAGTTTCACAACACGTTTGCGGAGCCGCTGTCTTCTTCCAAAAGGGCAGCGATGCGCGAGCTCTTCCCCATGCGAGGCACGCGCAGGGCGAGGGCTGCGCCTGGGTACGATTGAGCCGCTGCTGCTCACGTCGCAATGCCGGTCTTTCAGTCGCAAAGTTGGCTGCTAAGTTAGTACATCTCTTTAGCTCTACCGTTAGAGCCGGTGATTTGTGTGTGTTCGTCCGGGTGACTGGCATTGGCGCCTCGCCATTGGCTGCCTTCTATCTCATACTTAATGAAGCACGTGCCGATGCACGCTTTCGAAAAAAAAAATAAGCAAGGTGCTCGATCGGCTTCACATGGAGTAGTGCATCTCATATGCAGAGCGGTGGGAACTAATATGCATCTGCCATCTGGAATTCTAGAGGTGTATGCGTGGTTTCGCTGTAGTCAACTGCCCACGTACTCTTTCTCTTCGTGAAAAAGCATGATTGGATTCCTAACAAGTGGGAGGGGATATTTCCTTTCTAATGCTTAATCAATAGTATTCCCTTCATCCTAGATTATAATTAAGCTGTTTTGGCTTCTATAGATGCATACAGTAACTTTTATATATATGTATCTAAATATATGCTATGTCCAGATATATAATAAAAATATGTATCTAAAAAGCCAAAATCACCTATATAACTTTGAATTTAGATTGAGGAAGTATTACACAAGCCATGGTAGCTGACTAACAACATAAACATATATGGCTGACGATCGAAGTTTAAGTTATCTAAGACGTGTATTTGAGTAGCATTTATGCTCTAGTAATAATAGTGTTAGCGTAAACGTTTTTAAACAGACTAAACATAGCAATTTATTCGAGCTAAATGGACATTTAAACAGGCTAAACGATGAGAACGACTAATTAAATGGACACAACAAGCTACTGTATAGCATTTACACGGCGTGTTGCTTTCAATATAAGCTGGGCGTAGAGCCTTTGATCTAAAACTTTATACGGTGTGTAAACGGCCATGTAGGTGTACTATTTATGTAATCCTTCTCCACTAGCACATACAAGAAAAACAATGGTGATTGCGATATAGTTGGTTCTCAAATCTCAAAGATAGTTGGTGGAGCTTGACTAACTAGCGTTTGAGCACTGCTGGCTCTCTTCTCTCTTCCCCTTATCTTAGATTCTCTACCCATGCTCCCTCGCCACCACCCTAACATGCCCAGTTTCGGCAGCACCCTCATTGTCTCCGTCATTTCCCACTGCTCTCACTAAATCTAACGCAACTATTCCTTCTCCTAGTGCACCGCTTGCTTCACCATTGCCGCCGCTAATCCTAATCTCCTTGTTCCTTTTCTTCTCCAGTCAATTCCACCGCCATCTGCACTGTCTAACTAGCCTCTCTACTACTAATCCGGAGGGCAGCGCCTCGCCGCCGTCTCGACCCTCACCATCGTCAATCTAGTGGACTCCCTAGAAGCCCCCTTACACGCCCGCAGCCATGGAAGCCCCCTTGAAGCCCCGAAGCCCTCAATCCTAACACCGCTGAGGTCTTCATCTCCGGCCTCCGGGGGTGTCTCCGCCATGGAAGCTACAGTCAGTCCAGCGAGCTCTTCTTCAATTTTTTTTGTCTTGTAGTGTGTGCATGTTGAAGCCTTTCTACACATGTGCGTGGAAAGAAGCATTTACCTAGATTCCTAGAAGTTTATAGCACTTAGACCAGTGAAGGAACGATGGTGATAATGATTCTCTCCATCAACTCTAGACAAAAACCAATGGTGATAGTCATTTTACCACCTTTGATTGTTTGTACAAACCGATGCCATTGTCGGTGTTCATTTTAGATTAATAGGATTGATAAAATAGATCAAGTTAATTACATCCACCATGTAACAACTTGGCAAGTCAGTGCAAATTGGTCCAACAGCTTATAAACTGCTTAAATAAGTACTACAACTTGAAAAATTAATTCATATCCGGTCCAAACAATACTAGTGTGGCATAAATATGTTTTGGCTAAAAACCTCTAATCTTTCCATTTGGCGTACTTAACATAAAATTGAGTCGTGCACCAAATTCATGTTGTAAACCACAAATCATATGAGCACATTTAGGCCCCAATTTTGAATTTAGGGTTTTGACAAGTGATGAACACAAGTTTATGTGACTAACATGTGTTTTTGCAGAGGAACAATCACTTTGAGTTAGTTATGTTGATGCCACACGGATGTTCTTGGCCCCGAGGTTCAAGTGCAAACTTTTTTTTTTGAGGTAGTCGGGGTGAGGGGGGGTGAGGGAGGAGCTATCCCCACCTTTTTCATTGCATTGGAGCTGCAGAACCACTGCAGATCAGTTACCAGAGTAGCAGAATACAGAGGTGGTAGCCATTACATTCAGTCTAGGCTTACATTATGGAACAACTAGATTACACCAAATCTCAACTACTGAGCGTTCTACAACCGGGAACCGGTGTGACCACAGATGAGCTGCATCTATGAAGTTTGTAGCTATTAGATAATCTACTGCTTCCTTGTGTGAACACACAGTAAGGGAAGGCGGCGCCGAAAAGGCTCCCTGCTGTGGTACTATAGCCACCGCAGGGGCAGGCGCCGAACGGCTCACCTGCCTCACTGTAGCCACAGCAGGGATAGGCGCATAAGTCAGTCCTGCTGTGATATCTAGTCACTGTTGCAGCAGGGCAGCTGTACTGTGACTAGATGAGTAGAGTTGTATATATAGTTTGCCACTTCAACTCAACAAAGAGAGTTTAGATTTGCCATCTCCTATACAGAGCTCCGGCCAACGCTGGTACTTGTACTGTGTGTGTGCTCTGTTCTCCCTTCTTCTTCTACATCTGACCATAGTGTGTGGTCGGACAGCGTCTGTCGTGCTCGGCCATGGTCGGCAAGACTGGTGAGTGGTCGACTCACCTAAGCCGGTGATCATGTGGTCTAACAAGTGGTATCAGAGTCGTACAAGCGCTGTCGCCGGACTAACCGCTGCGATGATGAACGGTTCAGAGATGGGTGACAGCAGTGGCACTGCTGTGGCTGCCTAGCCACGACAGGAGGTCGTTGTTCGCACGGTGCAGGAGGTCAGCGGCACTAGTTGGCCGACGCTGACTCGCACCAACTATGGAGAGTGGTCGGTGACCATGAAGGTCAAGCTTAGAGCCTGACGGCTCTAGAATGCTGTTGACAAGGGCACCGACAATGAGGAGGATGACATGTCAGCGTTGGAGGCTATCATCGCTGATGTACCGGCGGAGTAGAGGGATTCATTGGGGGCAAAGAGCTCTGCTAAGGAGGCGTGAGAGGCTATTGCGGTGATGGGCGTCGGTTCCGACCGCGCAAAGAAGGTGACGGCCCAGCTTCTAAAGCAGGAGTACGCCAACCTCAAGTTCAAGGATGGTGAAACGGTGGAGGATTTCTCCCTCCGCCTGCAGATGCTCATCAGCAAGCTGAAGAGCCACGGCATCACCATCGATGAAGAGGAGGTGGTCTCCAAGTATCTCCACTCCGTGCTGGCAAAGTACATCTAGATCGCTCTCTCCATAGAGACAATGCTAGACTTGTCCACCCTCACCATTGAGGATGTGACAGGCTGTCTGTGGGCGGTGGACGAGCGCCTAGAATAGGTGACAGCAACGAAGGACAGCGGCAAACTGCTACTGACAGAGGAGGAGTGGGCTGCTCGGAGGAACTCCGGGGTAGCCTCCTCTAGTCACGGTGGCAATGGCAAGCGCCACGGCAAGGCTTCTTTAGAGAAGAAGAAGCAGGTCGACCCCAACGCCTGCCGACGCTGCGGGAAGACGGGCCATTGGGCATGGGAGTGCCCAAATCGCCGCAGGAGAAGAAGGCTGAAGCTCATCTGGCACAAGCTGATGATGTTGATGATGCCACTATCCCGATGGCGATGTTCTGTGCACTGCACGACATCGAGGCCGAGGAGAAGGAAGAGGTGACGACGGTGGAAGGACCTGGGAGGGCCCTAAAGGCTGTCAACCTCGATGAACCGCGCTCCCAAGTCCACCTCGGACGTGTGGGCGGCGAGCAGGAGCAGCGGTGGTATCTAGACTCTAGTGCTAGCAACCACATGACAGGCTACAAAGGCAGCCTTCTCCGAGCTCGATGACGATGTCACCGGTACGGTGAAGTTTGGTGATGGCTTATAGGTGGCTATTTGAGGGCGCGACACCATCATCTTCAGGTGCCAGAACGGGGAGCACCGCACACTAACGGATGTATATTACATCCCACAACTGCGTTCAAACATCATCAGCCTTGGTTAGCTGGATGAGCGCGGTAGCGAGGTACTGATCAAGGATGGAGTCCTTAGGATCAGGGACCAGGAGCAGCGACTTCTCGCCAAGGTGAAGAGGTCCCTGAACTGGTTGTACCTGCTCGACCTGAAGGTAGAGCAACCGGT